AAAAAGACTGCCCCCCCCCCCGACTGGCCTGCTCACCCCCAAAGGATGGACGCTGATGCTAAATTGCTTGGAATTTAATCCCAGCAACTTAGTTTACTAACGGTCATTTGACATTGGAAATGTTACTTAAACTCTCTGTGTCATGGATTTTCACCTGTAAAATATGAAAAGAGTATTTCTCAATTGATAACCTAGCTGTGAAATAGCAACAAATTAATACATGAAAAATAGTTTGAAGAGCCTGACCTGTACAAAAAACATAAGCTAACACACATTTTTTTTTGTTTACATTTGGAAGATTGCTGAGAACCTCACGCCATTGGAAGTTCCGTGTGCCTGCTATCTAAAAGGCGCATGTGTAAATCTTTTTGCATTTAGTAGATGCTGTGGGCTTGATTTCTTGTTCCTTTCACCACTGAACATCCTGTGAATGGCAGTGTCTCCCACTCACTTAGCTTATTGTCAAGTCCATCATTCTGACTCTGAATCGTGGGTCCTTGCTGGGCTCTGCTAACAGCTTCCATCAGTTTAATGTCATATAGTTTAGACCAGTGATGGCGAGCCTATGACACGCGTGTCAGAGGTGACACGCGAACTCATTTTTTTTGGTTGATTTTTCTTTGTTAAATGGCATTTAAATATATAAAATAAATATCAAAAATATAAATCTTTGTTTTACTATGGTTGCAAATATCAAAAAATTTCTATATGTGACACGGCACCAGAGTTAAGTTAGGGTTTTTCAAAATGCTGACACACCGAGCTCAAAAGGTTCGCCGTCACTGGTATAGATACTACAGGTATTTAACCTCTTTGGTTAGCAAAGCCCATGCTGACTCCTTCCCTTTAGGTGTCCACTCACCACACAGGTCTGAGGAGTCCCAGGAGCAGTGTGTCCCCAGGAGCTTTTTCAGTGGATCACTGATGGGCTTTAGACATTTCCTTAAGTTTATCAGGCAGTGCTGTCGGAGAGGGAAGACAGGCCTCCCTGCTTTGCAGGAGCTCCGAGCCTGGTGGGCACCAGGTCTCACTGTGGGAGCAAGGTGAGGAGCCAGCACCCACCAGGAGGGACGCGAAGGCAGCGACTGCAGCTTCAGTGTGCTGTGATGTGGTTTCATGAGGAATGCCTGTACTCCCCAATTTGTAAACTTTCCTGACACCCAGCTGAGATCCATTTTGTTGATATATAATCACAGTAGAGTTGATTTCATTAATAACTAAATTATATGTTTTCTCAGGTTGCCTGGGTTTTTTTTTCTCCTGTTCTCGAGGCCCAAGCTTGACAGAGAAGGTAGCTTTGACAGGTTTTCTCTTAGGTGCTGTTTTCCTGCCTAATCAGGATGACTTATTTTAAATCTTGAGATGAAATTATATTAGTAATTAAACCTAATGATATAATGTATTCCTCAAATTCACAAAAGCTAAACTAATATTGTACCAAACCATATGCAGTGGTTCTCAACCTTCCTAATGCCGCAACCCTTTATTTTTATTTTTTATTATTATTTTTAAAAATATTTCTGCTAATTAATTCCCTTTAAAAAAATATATTTTAGTGATTTTTTACAGAGAGGAAGGGAGAGGGATAGAGAGTTAGAAACATCGATGAGAGAGAAACATCGATCAGCTGCCTCCTGCACACTCCCCACTGGGGATGTGCCCGCAACCAAGGTACATGCCCTTGACCGGAATTGAACCCGGGACTCTTGAGTCCACAGGCCAATGCTCTATCCACTGAGCCAAACCGGTTAGGGTGCCGCGACCCTTTAATACAGTTCCTCATGTTGTGGTGACCCCCAACCATAAAATTATTTTCGTTGCTACTTCATAACTGTAATTTTGCTACTGTTATGAATCATAATGTAAATATCTGATATGCTATATGTGTTTTCTGATGGTCGCGACCCACAGGTTGAGAACTGCTGAACTATAGGTTACAGCTGCTGGAGCAGAGAGAGAGTCCCCAACTTGCTCAACAAGGTTGAGATTAATTTATGCCAGTCTCATTGTGAGCAGGGGGACAAGACTGGGGGGCATCTCTATGCCACCAGATCATTCAGGATGCTGGCTGGTGGGGGGCTTTAGCATGTGACTTTCATCTCTGGGTTTATGTCAGCTAATACCCCAGCCAGCAACAAGGAAGAAAGGTAGATTAGACAGCAAGCAGCTTTCTGTAAAAAAAAAAAAAAAAAAGATCTGAAGGTAGCATATATTACTTCTGTTCACATCTCATTAGCCAGAAGTTCTTGGTCATCTGGCCACACCTGCCTACTAGGGGAGTAGGCAGATGTCATCTGTAGTTGGGCAGCCAGAACAGAAAGGCTTCTGTTACTAAAACAAGGAAGGGAGGAGGGTCCTGGGTACATTAGGAGCCCATGCTTATCATGCTGCTTGTCCCTTGGCACTTCAGACTCAAAGCTAAACTCGCTGACTCGGCCTGGGTCTCCAGACGCTTCACCTCATTTCTCCTGTCTCCTCTGAGGGCTGAGTGTGTACATCTTCCTCCAAACCATGCCTCTTTTCCCCCCACCTGCCATGATTCAGTCATTGTTGCCAGGTCTCCTTGTCTTCAGTCCTGCCCACTTAAATCCACCCCTTTCTCAGCTTCCCAAATGAGCTCTCTGAAAAGCAGGTCAGAGACATGCCTCACGCGCTTTGATGGCTCCACAGCCCTCAAGCTCAGGCCCAGGTGGCTCCCAGGGGCTTATGGGCCTGTGGTGATCTGGCCTCATTTTCTCTCTCCAGTGTCTTTCCCCCACTGTCCAGCAAAACTAAATCTCAAATGATTTGTCATGCTCAGAGGCACCTCCAGCTCTCTGCACCCCAAACCTTCTCTGGTTTTAGGGCTTTCCTGGCCTCGGGTCTCTTCCTGAGTGTGCCCACCATATATGCTCTCACACCAGCTGCTCTGGCACAGGACCTTGCCCGCAGTGGTGCTCAGGACATGCTTTATGAATGACCAGCATAGCTAATGTATTACAATATGGCAAAGAAACAGCAGGTTGCAGTGGCTACCCACCTCTTTGCCAAGTCTGCCTCTTATCCTTGTATTTGTACCCCACTCACCCAGCTGAGCAATTCACCATGTTTGAGCAGTCAGCTTGAGCTCTGTGCCTCTACTGTCTGTCTCTGGCAAAACAGTCCAGGTCAGATGCCACCTCCTCCAGGAAGCTTTCCTTGTCTTCTACACTCCTGCTCATGGGTAGGATCTCTTTTGACTTCATTTACATTTTGCTTATGGCCCTTACTTCATTGTAACTTGTATTACAGTATAGATAATGGGTACATTCCTCACACTTCTCCCCCAAATTGTGAACCACATGCTGCTTCAAGACTGGTTCCTAGTTGCTGCTGTATCTCTTACATGATTTGTTGTCACTTTCTTGTACAAAGGCACCCCAAAAACGTTGAGTACAATTGTCTACAAATCAATCTTTAGAAAAGGATATTCTTTCAGATGTTAGTAAAATGGAGAAGCATTGTGAGGAAATCATTGGATGCTGTATTAAGGGTTAGATCAACAAAGTCTATTGAATGACTCCGTTGTCCCAGGGGCCAGACTCTCCCTCTCCTCCTGTCCTGTGAATGTGGGATGCCAGGAAGAGCACGACAGACCTGTCCTCGCCGAGGCATTGGGCGCCCTCCTCACAGCAGCGTGTACACTTTAGCACCGTGTAACCTGGGGCTGACCGTCCTGCGTGGTGTCATGAGCAGTGTGATAGTTCATGTCTTGCAGTGCTGGCCTCCCGAGGCACACCTGGGAGGGGTACATGGCTCTCAGTCGCAATGGCTGGTGGTACTGACAGCTGTGCCTCAGCCCCTGCCCTGGAAACAGTACAAAACATGAAGCAATGGTCAGTTGGAGAAACTATTCATTTGATTTAATTTTTTTGTTTAGGTTTGTTAGTAATCAATACATTTCCATGTTTAATGGAAATCCTAGACATCATTGTGTTGAAATACAAATCATCACTCCAAAAAACTCAGTGGATAGACATTAAATATTAGGAAGTTGCTGGTGGTGTAGACTAAATTTAAGTTCTGTGTTTTTAAACAGTATAAAATGTTTATACCTCTATGATTAAAAGTTGACTTATTTTTTTTTAAAGACAAACTTAAATATCTTGCTGACCTTCAGTAAACATCATCAAACAAGAGCCAGGGAACCACGTTACTAAGTGTGGCTGCCTGGCGGTTTTCTGTGCACTTGTTTTCCGTATAGTTATGTGGGCTCCTGCAGATGGGCATCTCAGCCTCGGCCCAAAGCCTGGGGAGGCTGCTCCAAGGCTGCCGGCTCATACTCAGACCTCATGAGTGAGCATCATGGCTTCCATGTCATTGATTACCCATTAGTGATGGGTGCAGGGACACGGGCTGGCTCCAGGACCACGCTCACCAGGCACGGGCACACCCGCGTCACCAGGCCTCTACCAGCCCCTTCTTTAACTCCCCCCTTTTCCCCTCACTTTGACATAGGACTTGCTTTCTGGTTCATCACTTTAACCTGCATTTGTGGACTTGAAGACTGGTCCATGTGTTTCTCTGCAGGAATTGTGGACGTGATTATCTGAAACAGTGAGTTCTCTCTGGGGGAGACAGCTTTCTGTAAGCTGGTCCCACAGGAAGCAAACTAATGAGAATCATGTAGTGACATAATCTGTTCATGGCTAGAAAAAAATGCGCAATTTCTTTTCTCCAAAGGAGGTTATTTTCTACTCCAGTCATGTAAAATGTCATGCAGGCCTCAAATTGTCTTCCTTTCATAATAGTCTCTTATCATTTCTTATTTCACGTGTTGCTTAAGTTTAGAACTTGTTCAAACTGAGTTTATGAACATACAGCCACATTGTCTTATATACCAATAAACTTGAAACACTATGTATGTAATTTCAGTAACAATGTATATTCATTGTGTTTCTTTTAAGGAATCTGACGACTACAGCCTTTGGAATATTACATGACACTACACCATGAGTGACAGTAAATGTGATAGTCAGTTTTACAGTGTGCAAGTGGCAGACTCAACTTTCACCGTCCTAAAGCGTTACCAGCAGTTAAAACCGATTGGCTCGGGAGCCCAAGGAATTGTTTGGTAAGTACAGTCTATTTCAATAGTATGGATTGAGTTGTTTTTGTAATAAAAATGAAATAAAACTAAATCATCAGATTTTAGAAATGCTGATGATGAAAATACTATTTTCTTTGCTATAGGTTTATGAGCTAAACTGAATTCCCCTCTTGTTCTATTTATATGTAGTCAGATTGTAGGATACAAACCCAAATTCTTAGAATGCTGCATAAGTTAAATAGGTAGCAGGTTTTCTCTTTTTTTTTTTTTTCTTTTCCATTCCCCTGTCATGATATTAGAGTAATAGGTATGACAGTGAGTTGTAACAGAAATTTGGCGTTTTATTCATTTCTTCATCCTGGCCACCTTCCCCCTCCCCCTTTTATTCCCATTCACTCCTATTCATTTCTAGGCGCCATCATTGCAGTGCTTTGCCCTTCATTGGCAGGATGAGGCCAGTCAGTGTCATTATCATCTCATGGATTAACCAGGAAGGGATGCTGTGTGAGGGGTTGGGCTGGCCATCTCTTCCTTGGTGTCTCACTTCAACTGTGCGTCCAGCCCAGGACGTCAGAACCGTTGGTCTGACCCTGAACCTTAGTCTCTTGCATGGTAAGACAGTCAGCTGCCGCGACATCACTGGCCAGCTCAAGGTAAAGTTTTTCACATGTTTTCTAGATTACCGTTATCAGCACTTCCCAAACTTCTTATCCCTTCGTTTCCTGGGCTAAACTTTTTTTTTTCTTTTTTTGGTCAGTAAAAACAAAATTGTCTTTGCATCTGAAAGAAACTGTGATGAAGCTAAGCACCCAGTGTTTATAGCTGGTATCAGAGGGTTCAAGAGAAAGAGAACTCTTGGATATTGTGGTAGGGGAGTTTGTTTTCCTTAGAGGTTTAGGGTTTAGAGCAGCGGTTCTCAACCTGTGGGTCGTGACCCCTTTGGGGGTCGAACAACCCTTTCACAAGGGTCGCCTAAATACATCCTGCATATCAGATATTTACATTACGATTCATAACAGTAGCAAAATTACAGTTATGAAGTAGCAATGAAAATAATTTTATGGTTGGGGGTCACCATAACATGAGGAACTGTATTAAAGGGTCACGGCATTAGGAAGGTTGAGAACCACTGGTTTAGAGAATCTTCAGCATTTGAAACTAATTCTCTATTGTACAGACATGATCAAGGAAGTCAGTTCTTTTCTTTGGACAAGGTGGCTGGAGACCCTGTAAGCTAAGAGGAGATGGCAGGCAGTTCAGAGCTTCCTGGTCAAACTGATGTGGGAGAAGAGGCGGTTTGGAAGGAATGCCCAACTTGTATCTAAAATAGTGGTGATAACACGCTATACTGGTACTTAAATCCAGTGTGTCAAGAGAAGTTATAAAGTCAATAGATGGTTCCTGTTGGACACTTTGATGTTAATACAAAGTTCTAGACAATAAAACCTTATTTTCTTTTGAATATGTGTTTATTGATTTTTAGAGAGAGGAATAGAGATAGAAACGATTGGCTGCCTCCTGCACGCCTCCTATTGGGGATCAAGCCCACAACCCGGGCATGTGCCCTGACCAGGAATTGAACTGATGACCTCTTGGTTTATGGGTTGAAGCTCAACCACTGAGCCACCCCGGTCAGGCAATAAAGCATTCTTTTGTTATAAAATCCATGTCTTATTTGGAATTGGACCGTAATTTGACACAGGTAATTCCGCAAGACTGATATCAAGGACATTTAATGTGATACCTACATTAAGAGGCTGACTAGAACTTCATAATTAATTGTAAAACAGAAGACTGTATAAAGGGTAGGCAGTTAAAATTAATGATTTCATTACACATGACTTCAATAACAATAAAATCACATGCTACTTTACAAAATACTATTTTGCAGAGATTGGTTTTGATTTTCAGTTTGCATATGCTACTTCTCATTTTTATTTTTAAAAGAATGTTTAATAATGAAATTATATATGTTCATTATAGATATGTATTTCTTATTTAAAAATTCTAGTTTTGAAACAAGAGTTTCTAATATGCCATTATAAACTAAATCTTCTCTGGTAAAAGCAGTGATAGAATTATAGGATGGGAAGTTAATGAATTTATAAAAACATTTTAAATAAACCCATACTTCTATGACCCAATTTTTAAAAAGGGTCCTGAGATTATTCATTGGGGAAAGAACAGTCGCTTCAAAAAATAGTGTTGGCACAACTGAATATCCACATGCAAAAGAATGAAGCTGGTCTCTTACCTCACATTGTGTTAAAGGGTAACTCTGAATGGGTCAGTGATGCCTGGCTGGCATGGCTCAGTAGGTGAGTGTCAACTTATGAACCAGGAGGATTCCAGTCGGGGCACATGCCTGGGTTGCAGGCTCAATCCCCTAATCCTCGTGTGGGGCCTGCAGAAGGCAGCCGATCAGTGATTCTCTCTCATCGTTGATGTGTCTTTCTCTTCCTCTTCCTTCCTCTCTGAAATTAAAGAGAGAGAGAAATATCACTGAGCCATGCTGGCCAAGTCATCATTGATGTTTCTTTCTCTCCCTCTCCCTTCCTCTCTGAAATAAATTAAAAAATACGTATTTTTAAAAAATGGGTCAGTGACCTAAATATAAGAGCTAAAACCATAAAGTTCTTAGAAGAAAGCATATGGGGAAAACTTCATGACTTTGAATCCTTAGAAATGACACCAAAAGTATGGGCAATAAAATGAAAAAATTGGCTTCATCAAATTGTGCATCAAAGGATACTATCAGAAGAGTGAAAGAAAAAAACAACCTATGAAATGGGAGAATATTTGCAAGTAATATATCTGATAAGAGTCTAGTATCCAGAATACATACAGAACTTTTACAACTCAACAACAAAAAATACAGTTTCAAAAAAAATAGACGAAGAATTTGAATAGACCTTTCTCCAAAAAAGATATACAAATGATCACTAAGCACATGAAACGATGCTCAGCATTAGTCATTTGGGAAATGTAAATCAAAACCACATGAGATACCACCTCACACCCACTGGGATGACCATAATCAAAACCAAAAGTAATGTTGACAAGGACGTGAAGAAATCGGCACCCTGTACATCGCTGTGAGAATGTAAAATGGTGCAGCCCCTTATGGAAAACATTTTGAGGTTCTTCAATGGATTAAACATAGGATTACCGTATGACCCATCAGATACTCCTAGATCAGTGGTCGGCAAACTGCGGCCCCTTGAGTGTGGCTCTTCCACAAAATACCACATGCGGGCGCGCACGTACAGTGCGATTGAAACTTCGTGGCCACACTGAAGGGGCCAAAGAGCCGCATGTGGTTCGCGAGCCGTTGTTTGCCGACCACGGTCCTAGATAAATACCCAAAAGAACTAAAAACATGTTCAAACGAAGACTGGTACACAAATGTTTATAGCAGCTTATAGCAGCACTATTTGCAATAGCCAAAAGGTGGAACTAGCTCAAATGTTCACCAATGAATGAAGGGATACAGAAATTATGTAATAGACATACATGGAATGTTATTTATAAAGAGGAATGAAGCACTGATGCATGCTACAAATGGGTGATCCTAAAAAAACATGCTAAGTGAAAGAAGCAGACACAAAAGGTAGCATTTGAGTGTATTTATGTGAAATATCCAAAGTAGGTAAATCCATAGAGACAGACACAGTTTGGTAGTTAACAGGCAAGGGGGAAGGAGGAATGCGTAGCAACTGCTTCATGGGCATGGGGTTTTCTTTTGGGGCGATGAACAGCTTTTGAAATTACATAGACATGGTGATTGGACAACATTGTGAATGTACTTTAAAATGCTTAATTTTATGTCTATGTGAATCTTAGCTCCATAAAAATTATTTTTAATAAAAGTAAACTGGAAGGTGCCTTAAACTAAGGATATTTGTCATTTTAATGGATACTTAAGTCCTAATACTATTGTATTGCATATAATGATATTTTTATGTTATATTATACATAAAATACGTTGTAATTTTCTTGTAGTAGCTTGTTATATAGACATTGACAGAATCTTAATAGTAATTTCACTTAACTCTTAATATTTTTATTTAAATGATTTTATGACAATTTTTTAGTATTTGTAGGAGCAGCTTTCGTCTCACATTCAGAAAGGTAGGAAGAAAGAAATATGTAGAGATTAAAATTTTTATACCATCCTAAATATCATCTTTTGGAAATCTGCATGTTCATAGCCTGAGTTTTGATTCTAAGGAAAGGTCAAAAATTAAGTTTTGCTCTTTTCTGCTCAAGAAAGAAGTTATTACTTTGAATTGATTAAGACAGTCCTTCATGAACCCATGCACAGCTAAGTCATTGATGTCAGTAGTTAACTTTGTAACCCAAGCCAGTTATTCATTACCAAATTAAAATGTTTTTGCTTTGTTTATTTTTACTGGATACATGGAAAAGAGGCAAGTTAGTTAACTTGATTCAGATTATTGATATTTCCTTTTAGAGATGTTTGTACAATTATGAAAACTATTCTTAGACTCTTGGGATGTTTCATCTTTTGGTCTTTTGATGAAGTGCCATCACAGAAGTTGGTCATAGATGGTTGGAGACCTGGTCTCCATGATTAATTACTTTATTGCTCCTTTTTCCCAGAGCCTGTGCTGGCTGTGGGGAGCTGAGTCTGCTCCTTGTCTGCCTTCTGGGCTTGAGACTTTGTCGGCCTGCTGAGCTGCAGCAGTGGTAGTGCTGGGACTGGTAGTCCTTGGGTTGACAGGAGAGAAACCTTTCCCATGATACTTCCCTGCACGTGTCTTCTAAGGATTTTTTCCTGGCTCTGTTTTGCACAGCATCTTGGATATTAGCATTATGTGCTAAGTTTCCAGTAAGAAAAGTATTTTGTACATGGTGCAAGAAGAAGGTCTCTTATTACCTCAATCTGCTGTTTGGATAGAGTAAGAAACTCCACTGGTGCCAGCCAAACCCCTTTCTTCCCCATCAGTGACATAAAGGCCTGAGTGTCCCTGTCATCAAGCCTTAACTTCAGATAACCTTTTCTCTTTAGTGATCCCTTCCCTGCAGATATGGCAGGTTTTTCCTGTGTCCCACTGTGTCTCCTTGGTGAATTCTCCTCTGAACCCCCTGGGTCTATTGAGATACTGTCCCTGGTCTTTTAAGACTTATGTCATCTATAAAATGTCCCCCAGGTGATCTCAGCTCACACTTGGAATAGAGTTTCCTCTTGGATTGAACCAAATGCTTGATTGAGGTGTGTGCATGTGTGCGCACCTCCCCCCACCCCCCAACACACACACACTTACACTCCAGGGCCGTAACATAATGTGTGTTTTAAACCAATAAATTTGTGGTAATCTGTTACAGCAGCAATAAGAAAGTAATACAGGGGGCATGTGTATTTTTACATTTTTGAGGAATAACCTATATAATAAATAGTTAATATGCAAATTGACTGTCACGCCCTTGCACAAGATGGCCACCCCATGTGGTCAAAGATGGCTGACAGGGGAGGGCAGTTGGGGGCGACCAGGCCTGCAGGGGAGGGCAGTTGGGGGCGACCAGGCCTGCAGGGGAGGGCAGTTGGGGGCGACCAGGCCTGCAGGGGAGGGCAGTTGGGGGCGACCAGGCCTGCAGGGGAGGGCAGTTGGGGGCGACCAGGCCTGCAGGG